GAGAGAGAGAGAGAGAGAGAGAGAGAGAGAGAGAGAGAGAGAGAGAGAGAGGGGAGTAGCGGTAGCAGGGAGGAGGAGAAGATGGCAGCCACGGGGGTGCAGCAGAAGCACGTTGGCGGGGTTGGTAGTGGCGACGTTGGAGATGGTTTTGTGTACGATTTGGAGCATATGCGTCATTCGCCGGAGGATATTGTGTTCTGCTTGGACGTCGACTCGGAAGCTGAAGGCGACATGAAGTCGTCGGGATCTAAGAACGCCCAAGTCTCTACTCGTCTAAGCGCAATCAAGCAAGCTGTGATACTGTTCATGTACTCGAAGCTAGATATTGATCGTCGTCATCGCTTCGCCATCGCCACTCTGGCTGATCGCGCCTCGTGGGTATGTCCAATCCAAGCAATGCTTGTGGTGGTTGAATCATCATCAGTCAACGACTTCATGATGATCGCATCATGTCATCCTTTCATCCTTGACACAACTTCAATGGCGTTCTCCCCCTGCCTACCGCCCACCCAGCTTGCCGGTTCTTCTTCATCGAACCTCCTCTCTCTCTCTCTCTCTCTCTCTCTCTCTCTCTCCTCTCTCTCTCTCTCTCTCTCTCTCTCTCTCTGTGTCTCGCCTCCCTTCTCTCTACATGCACGAACCATTCTTCGCAGCTTGAGCTGGAGGGCGTCTCTCTCTCTCTCTCTCTCCTTCCCCCCCTTCTCTCTCTCTCTGTGTCTCTGTGTGTCTCGCCTCCCTTCTCTCTCTGCTTGCACGAACCATTCTTCGCAGCTTGAGCTGGAGGGCGCCAACAAAAGGACGCGCCTTCTCGATGATGAAGATGGCGGCGGTCTCTTCTTTCTTCTGCTGCTTTGTACTGATTGGATCCTTGTGGTTTGTTTGTGATGCGCAATCTCTTGAGCCAGGATGATCGGGAGATCGGTACATTTTCAAATTTGAAAGAGTTTTGAAAATTCGGCTGCACCTGGCCCTCGTGGCTGAATGAATACTGACACCACTCAACTGTAATATATAGTAACTTTTGTTGATTCACAGATTCGGAGTTCGAATCCCTACTGGGTACAATGAGGCTATGGGGGCTGCCCTCTTGTGGAAGACAGAAAAAAAATATTTCACCAGCTGCTTCGGTTCTTATGCAATCGACGCACACGGACTGGATCCTCTGCCGATCCATGGACTCAATCTTTGCACCCAATCAGTCACATCGAAAACAAAATCAGCATTCGGCTTGCAAGAGGGCCTCGCTCCACCACTGATCAAATGTGTGAAAATGAGAATGAAATTTCTGCTACAACATGGAAAAAGCTTCACCGCCATAATTTTTGTCTTTTGCGCGTCTGGTGAGTAGGGGAGCGAGGCCGAGTATCATGATCCCAACGAGTTTAATCGGAACTACCATTCCTATCTTCGTTCATTCATTACGTTTTGCTTAAAAAAAAAAAAAAAGATGCATCGAAGCATTCCAGCTCATTCTATGATCAGCACCGGTCCTTTGATCGTAAGGAAGGCGTGAGCTGCGCGCTGACGGATTAATGAATGGATGAATTAACGGATGGATTATGGATTTGATCTGTGGATGGATGGATGGATAAACGGATGGATTATGGATTTGATCTGTGGATGGATG